GAAAATGTTATTGCTTGTTAAGGGCCAGATTCTGTCACCCTAGTTCATGTTGAGTACTACCTTATTCTGTGAGGCGTCCCATTGAAATCAATGGGAGTAACTGAGTAACTTACTATTCAACATGAGCAAGGCTGGCCAAGTCTGGCCATTAGCCTTTGAACACTGTTGCTTTCTTTCGACTGACAATAAATACTTGCATGGCTCCGCCTAGCATAGCATCTGCACTCCGGAGAATCTTTAATGTATTTATTTTAACAACCTACCTGTGTGGTAGGTAAGTGCTATTATCCCAATTTTACAAGTGGGGAAGTGAGGCACAGAGAGAGAGTGACTTCCCCAAGCTCACAGAAGGAATCTGGGGCAGAGCAGAGAACTGAACCCAGGTTCCTTAGCTCCAGATTAGCACTGGTGTCACCAGGCTATCCTGCCTCTCATTTAGGGCTAGATTGTGTCACAGACTACAATTAAAAAAAACTAGCCCATTGCTGTGCTGCCTGAGGCATAACTAAGGGAAGGAATTGTGACTCCCCGTTTCCCTCTGGCTCCAAGGGGTAGTAATTTGCTGCTAGCCATCACCAGGTATAGTAGCAGGAGCAAAGTCCTGGGCACTCTGGCTCAAAGGTCTGGGGAGGAAATGGAGGAACATAAGGGCTGTGGGTCTTATTCCCCATTATCCCCCTGCACAGGTGTGCCGCCCAAGCTATAATCAGGCCTTTAGGGTGGAAGTCACCCATGTGCAGTGTTGTATTAATTTAGATGGAATATAGGGGCCCAAAGGGTTAAAGGTGTGAACATAACCCAGGCCCTGTCCAACATTAAATGGTGTTAAACAAGGTTCAGGGTTTGTTATACAGAGACCTCAGCCTGCTGACAGAACAAGAAGCAATGGTCTCAAGTTGCAGTGGGCGGGGGGGTCTAAGTTGGATATTAGGAAACACTATTTCACTTGGAGGGTGGTGAAGCACTGGAATGGGTTCCCTAGGGAGGTGGAGGAATCTCCATCCTTAGAGGTTTTTAAGGCCCGGCTTGACAAAGCCCTGGCTGGGATGATTTAGTTGGGGTTGGTCCTGCTTTGAGCAGGGGGTTGGACTAGATGACCTCCTGGGGTCTCTTCCAACCCTAATCTTCTATGCTTAGTACCATTTCAAATCCTTTTAACCTTTTATTAAAGATACAGGAAAGAAGGGAAACAGAGCACTTGAAATGTACAGTATTAAATAAGGCGTTTGGTTTAACAACATCCCTTGTTCCCTTTCACTTTAGCTAGGGAGAGTTTTTAGAAGGAAAAAAACCACCTTGTTTGACAGTCTTTTAGATGGTATTAAAGATGATAAAGATGAGAAAAAGTGAAGAATTAATAGAGATGTGTTACTGCTGTTAAAGTCTTATCCTGTTTCTTAGGAGACAAAACAAACACTCACAAAGTGGGGAGAAAAAAGAACAGCAAAGATAGAAATGCAGCTTCTGTCTTGGGCACTGAGTTTCACTTGCTGCCTTACTGCAGGAGAAACACAGGCACAGCACAGTCTCATCAGCCACCCCAAAAATTGGCAAACTTGTACCAGCACTGGGCTGCTTATGGTATTGCTTTTAGCTGCATCTTTCTGGTCACAGGCTTACAGCAGTGTTGCAAAATATCCAGTCTTGGCTGGCTTAGCCAGATTCTTATTAGACAGGGATAGGAAAGAGAAGAAATAAGGTGGGGAAAGAAAAGGACACATGGAGGAGGGAAAGGGTAGGATAGACTAAGGTGGTATTCGGTATATCACATCCCAGGTGGTATTCGGAATTTAGCTGGCACCGGTGGAAGTGGTGGTGTAATCTGGGTCCTTCTCTCTGGCCTGGTCAAGATATCTCTCAGGATTAGGACAGAGAAGATCTGGTGTCCCAGGAGATTGTGGGTGTGGCAGCCATGATGGTGAAGTCTTTCCAGTAGCCAATTTTGATGACAAGTCTCTCTCTTTAAGGCTCCCAAAAGGGAGTGATGTGTGAAAGAGTCCATCCCTTCATCTTTTGTTCCCCACTTGATTGATTGATTTCTGGTCCTCTACTCTTCTTGCTTACCAGTCATAATCTTAACACAGTCCTTGAGTTGTATCAGTAGGTCTTTGTTTGTATTACACCTCTACCTCGATATAACGCTGTCATCGGGAGCCAAAAAATCTTACCATGTTATAGGTGAAACCGCATTATATCGAACTTGCTTTGATCCACCGGAGTGCGCAAGCCCCCCCTCGGAGCACTGCTTTACCGCGTTATATCCGAATTTGTGTTATATCGGGTCGCGTTATATCAGGGTAGAGGTGTAATTCAGTCTTTCTGTCTTGCTTTTGCAGCTTTTCCCATCAACATTTGTTCTGGATAGTGTGACATTCCATGAACTTTCACTCGCTTCTGAAGTTGAGCTCACAATTAGGGTAAATTTGTAGACCCATTTATGCCAATCCTAGGGAGCCAGCACAAGCCTATGCACCACATAAGCCCTGTTTTGAGAACTTGAGTGAGTCTTAAATGTCACTGGGGTGACTTTACCTTTTAAGAATAAAAACTAAAAGACATCTTCATGGTGGAGAAAAGTAGAAGAAGGATTACAGTTACCAGGGGAGTACTGATCTTATCAAATACAATCCTTTTTAATGTTGAAAGCATTTTATTGATTGTTTCCATTCACTACTATGACATAGGAACCAGTTATGTTGGTACTTTGATATCTGATCAACCCTGTTTACATAACCAATCCATTTTTATCAGCACAGTCTGGTGTTGCCAGGGTTTAAGTAGGATTAAGGAGAGAAATGTTCATTCCATGCATAATGATACTACAGAAACACAGTGTGTTGGATATGTCTTTGAAGCCTCACACTTCAAAAATGTGCCTGAGAGGAGTGGAAATATACAGACTCTGTTGTGAAAAATGTGAGTCACAACAGCCATTATCGCATTAAAAAAAAACTGCATTTCAGTTATTTGATTCAGTCATTGATGATTTTCCTTTTTAAGTTGTGTGCTTTCAAACTATGTTTAGAAACATCTGGGCTGACCCAGGCTATTTGTAGAAATGTTTGTACTTCATAGATTAGAAGAAATTAGACATGATAAAGACCCGTTAAATCATTTTGGCCATTTCCTGAATATGTCTGAGTTTGAAGAATAACTATGTTAAATATATACTTTGAAAAATAGCAAGTTTGATAAGTGTAGTGTAAGAATGAAAAACATTTAAACCTTTTTCCAACACGAAAGTGATGGCAAATAGAAATCTTTATAAGTGATTATAAAAGGAGTAGCAGTAACTGCTGTAATTAAGATTGCATAACCATTTCCATTCTAACACTTTAATTTTAGTCACTTAGAACTTTCTGAAACTTCCATCTTTTGGATTGAAATATTCAAGGCTCGATCTATGTTTGAAGGTCTTTTTTTTTTTTATTTTTTTAAAGAAAGTTTGAGCAAAAATGGTACAGCCATTTTTGAGCATAAAGAGAACATAGAATTCCTTTCCCATTCCCTTACTCCCTAGGAGTTGCAGATGTCAGTAAGGTATGAAAATAGCCCTCATTAAGGAGAAGTGTCTTAGAGTACTCTGGTGAAAATTAATTTTGATGTGACTGTAACCCACACACCTCCTGTGTGTGGTGTTCTGTCCCATCTAGTGGTGCTGAGACCACTTGGAGAGAGAGAGAAAGGGAGAGAGATTAATGAGTTTGCTCTACAGCCTTAGCTAACAGCCAGGTGTCTTTTAGCTCATGCAGTAGCGGCTCATACACTAAGCTCCAGAGGCCCCAGATTCAATCCTGCCCGCCAACCACTGGGGTCTGTCGGCGTTACAAGTGAGGGCTTGTCCAGGATTTCAACTGGGAAGTCTCTGAAGCTCAGGACATGCTTCCTCAGCTAGGGGAAGTATGTAACCCATACACCTCCTGCGTGTGGTGTTCTGTCCTATCTAGTGGCACCGAGACCACTTAGAGAGAGAGAGAGAGAGAGATTCATGAGTTTGCGCTACAGCCTTAGCTAACAGCCAGTTGGCTTTTAGCTCATGCGGTAGAGGCTCATACACTAAGCTCCAAACGTCCCAGGTTCAATCCCGCCTGCTGACGACCAGGGTCTGTCAGCATTACATGACCACCTTATGACCAATTGAAAGTTGCACGATACGCTTACACAGTAAACTTTCCACACATTCTCGCTACATTTGTGAAGTGTACAGCTAAGGAAGGCTGCACTACACATACATATGCAGCTAGCTCAGCTCTGTCTGCAAAATGCAGTCAAGGTGTATAAGGGCTGATCCAGGGTTCGGCAGGAAGCCTTGTCTCATCATTGCATGTCTTGAAAGTGTGCATGGGCTGAGCAACGGAGGTCCTTTACAGCTCTGGAGATAACAGGGGTAGTATATAATCATTTCCCTTCTCCTCTGAGCACAAGTTTGGTTCCATGTTAGAATTGAGCCACTGGGACTGATTCTCCAATGCATTGCACTAGGGGCTTGATTCTCCCCTCACACCAATCTTGTGCTAGTGTAACTTCAACAGAGTTGCTCCTATCTTCATCAAAGGAAGAATTAAGCTTCTTGTGTAGTAATTTTCATCTGTGCAGCCTGAGTGTAAAAGCTATTACCTGTGTACATGAGTTGGGAATGCTGATTTGGTAGCATTCTACATTCACTTTGCACATCTGTGCACGTGCAAGTCAAGAGAATCCAGCCCACTTAGACTAAATGCTGAATTTGCCCCTCTTAGTTCCTGGGTCCACAAGACCATGATTTTCAGATGCTTAATTGCAATTGCAGATGGCATTTGAAGGTTTCTCCAATGAAAATGATGGGCAGGAAATGGATGGTCAGAATTTGCTGCCTGTCTGTATTGTATCATGTTTTATGGTTCTCTGCATTGCTTCTCAGAATCTTTTTATCTACTCTGGTGATAAACCATGCCAAAGAAAAGAACATTCTATACTGTACCTCTTGGTTGGTTGATTCATTTGATTCTTTTTTGTCTCAGTAACAGCACTTCAGTTCCTTCACCTGATGGGCTCTGGGATGCGTACTTCTGACATAGTTAGTTCAGGGGACAATTGCTCTTCTCTCTGTTGTGCATAGACGCTTGAGATCCATTTGGATACAGGTACACACAAACATGTTTACAGAATCACCCTACTCAGGCAAACTTCTGTCCTAAGAAACCACCCCCAAATATTCCCCAAATGTTCTGGCTACAGTGCTCCACCTGTATTAGGAGACCACCACTGTTAACCAACCAATTTTTGTCATTCCCTTCAGTGTCACTTAGGACATGTTTCATATTATAAGGACAACAAGAGGATTAGCTGGCCCATATCTGCTGGTGTTATTTATGGGAATGAAAATGCCATTTGTAGTTGTGGTGTTGAGTCAGAGAACAATGAGAGTGTAAGAAAACTCATTTCTGGTTTGTTGAAAGGCTTTTGTAATTTCCTGTTTTTTCATGACAATGGGGATATAAGTAGGGGAACAAGTTGGGGAATTTAAGGGAAGATATAACTGAAGAAGAGTGTGCAAATTATCTGAACCCAAGACCATATACTAATTCATCTGAACCCTAGCTGTTCAGACCGGCAGCAATGTGAAGTATGTTGTACAGGATAATGCAAGTCATTCCCCTATGATATGTCATGATCAATGACAATCTAATGAATTCATCTTAAAACAAAGTCAGAACAGGAAAAACAATAGCTATTTGAAAGACTCCTTTCCTCAAATAAATGGAGTCAATAAATATGCTCTTTGTCATTCAGGGTCCAGTTAAAGGTTTGTTTGCTAACAAAAAATGCTGTCATCACAGAGCTTAATAGAAGCAAACTATCAGGACGTATCCAGTTCAAGTAGACAAATAATATTTGAAAGCAGAGAAAAATAACAGTAGCTGAACAAAACACGTGTCCTCCATAAGCAGGCCAAAGCAATAGTGATTTTATTTGTCACCGAGTTAGATTTTAATTTAGTACCGTAAGTATGGTCTTGCTGCTGTGGGATAAAAAGCCTTGTCATTTCTCATGTAATATGTGTTTTATTGACACATATTAGAGAATGAAGATTACTCTTGCTGGCAAAAAAATTCTCAGCCCACCCTTGTGTAGGGGACCAGCTCAAGGCCTCTGTGCCGTTTAGGTCCCACAGAAGACTTCAAAATAGGGCTTCAATGGGACTTAAACGGTGCATAGATATTGTGCAGGCTCTTGACATTGGGATGAATTCACCCCAGTTTTCTTAATAATAATAATAATTAATAATAATGTATTTTTATATTAATTTTAACAGCTATCAGTGTGTCTTTTTAGGGAAGATCTGTAAGTCCATTATTCATAGACTCATAGACTCTCTAAGGTCAGAAGGGACCATTATGATCATCTAGTCTGACCTCCCGCATGATGCGGGCCACAAAAGCTGACCCACCCACTCCTCTGGTGTGATTTTGCATTTGCACTTTATTCCTGTAAGTTAATATAGATGCAAGAATTCACAGTTCCAGTCACTTATTTTCCATTCTAGCAGGAGTTGGGAATGTTGACGAGGAAGCATACTCAGGGCAAGATGTTTAATCTTGGGTGTCAAAAGTTAGACTTTTAAATCAATCTGTATTTAGATAACTAAATAGTAGTGGGCTGATTTTGAGAGGTGCTGAATTGGAAGTGTTGATTGCTCAGCATGTGTGAAAATCAGACCACTTTTATTCAGGTGTCCAAATATGGATTTAGGTGACTTACTTTATGCTTATCTGAACATTTGTTCCTCCACTTTTCTAGGGTGGTGGGATGTAAAGCAGGAGAAAACTTGTACCTGTTTAGGGCACTGATATGAATGTGGAAAATACCCCTTCCTGACCCTGCAAGAAAATAAGTGATGTAAGAAAATATTACGGAAGCTTAAGGTGGAGATTTTCAAATGCCCTTAAGTGACTCAAGATTCTCAATCCCAATGACTTTCAATGAGACTTAAGTGCTTAAGTACATTAAAGCACTTTTGAAAATGGGATTTAGGTGCTTTTCAAAATTCTACCTTCAATCTATAAAATCTATTCAGATTTGATCACTCAGACAACTCCTCATTTGAATTACTTTTCCAATTAGTTTTATTTTCCCTAGTGTTTTATTGGCCACATACAATTGGGCAAAAGGTTACCCGATTATTGCTAACTCATGCTTTGTTCTGTTTGCTGGCTTGCCAATTCTGTAGTCACTTACTTTGATCCCTTTTGTTTTAGTTGTTTCCCCTACTTGGAGAAATGACCAGTACAGAAGAAGCAGGATGAAAAGATGGCCGACTTCTTGTTACAACCGGGTTCTAATAGCTTCCACCGGTTCACACTTGAATCCTTGGCTGCTATTGAGAAGCGAATTGCAGAGAAACTTGCAAGGAATGCCAAGCAGGAGTACAGAGATCAGACAGATGATGAAGAAAAGCCTCGGCCTCAGTTTGACTTACAAGCTTGCAAAAAGTTGCCTGGTATCTATGGGACTCTTCCTCCAGAGCTCATTGGGGAACCACTGGAGGATCTCGACCCTTACTACAGTGACCACAAGGTTAGAGCCTTCAGAAGCGTGTGTTGTTTTACATTTGCTTTCTAAGATGGGAGATATTTTATGCGGGGACTCTGGTTTTGTCTTTCCTCGTTCAGTAAAAATGGTTTCTTCTGGTTTAAGGATTGGAGAGCTAATGTGGGCAGAACTTCCTCCAAAGAACTAAACAGAGGGGCATAGTGGAATAAAAGCTTAGCTCAAGTAACATTGAGTATGAATATATATTGTTACGTGAGAACAGAACATTAGGTGAGTTAAATGAAATTGTGGGTTCCATCTACTGTACCTTCCTCTCTTTGCCTGAAATTCATGCCAGGACCAAGGTCCTGTGCATTATTAAGTCTAACTAGGGTGATCAGATAGCAACTGTGAAAAAACGAGACGGGGATAGAGGGTAATAGGTGTCTATATAAGAAAAAGTCCCGAAAAACGGGACTGTCCCTTTAAAAATGGAACATCTGGTCACCCTAAACCTAACCTTAGCCCTTCTTGTTAAGGGTTTATGTGGTTCCTCGGGCCTTTTGCTGGCCTTCTGCACAGGAGGGAATATCGCCTACATCACATAAGAGGTGTGTGTATATATATATATATATATATACAAATCATTCCTGAAGAGTGAAATTAATTTTTCTGCAGAGGGAAAGCAAAAGCCGAGGCACCATTTCACTCCCATTTAAGATGTCAAAATAGGGCTTATGGTAGGATTTAACTGGTGCAGTGTGCTGGCCCTCTGCACTAGGGTGAATTTCATCCTGGAGTGAATATCACCTGGTGAGAATCGTGTGGGCTGGACAAGAGCCACTAGGGTACGAACAGCTCCCTCAAAAGACTGTTGGCAACATGACTGTATAACTTGCTTACTACAACTTGCTTTCCTGTACTTCAAACATGTTATAACGTGGATGAGAAAATAACACCCACAAACATGCATTCTGAGAACTTTCCATTTTTTGATGTATTCCTCTAGACTAGTTTCTCCCATAAACCAGTATGTAAAATTACTGTATGTTTCCATGATGTAATCACTGGCATTTTTGTTCATGTGTTGTACAAATTTATATAGACAAAGTAACAAAAGTTAAATAGACACAGAAGTAGATTATTTATCTGAGATGTCTGGAATCGATCTATAATAATCTGTGGCTATTTAAATACAGTGTGCCCAGGCAGAAGCAACAGGACACAGATGTAGTATTTTAGTCTTGAAAGCCAGATTCTGGATGGATGAGTCCCAAAATTGCTTAAAGCTCACATCTGAACTGCCCTGATCTTGTTGCCACCATGTGCAGGTCAGTCTCTCTGTGCACAGTTAGGGCATTTTATTGTCTGCCTAGCTGTTTTCAGTCCCACGCTATGCTGGCAGCAGGAAGGTAGAGCAGCATAAGAGGTTCTGCACTAATTTTCTGCCATCTGAGGATCCCTTTTGCTTGGGGTGACCTTGGGGTGAACCTTTTAATCTCAGCTACGTTGGCTATAGGGTCAGATAGTGCTGGCAGTGAGGTGCTCATCCTATGTGAGAATTTAGCCAGGAATCTGCACTTGGTGAATGAAAGAAGGAATTAGTGGAGGGTATTATGCATGAACCAGCTCCTGCATGCAGGTGACATACCAACTAGTGCATCCTCAAATGGAAGATCTAGAAGAAATAGTAAACCAGTGGTATGACTAGCTAAAATGGCATCAGATGAAAATGAACATGACTAAGATCGAGGTCATGTGGGTCAGTGGAGTTGCCACTGGGAAACTGGACGTAGAGATTAATGGAGTCAGACTAAACCAGACTGACCAGTTCAAGTACTTCTGTTCATGGGAAGATGGCAAGTTTGAACGTGAGATATAATCGAGATTGGGGAGTGTTGGAAGAGCATAGAATAACATCACCGGGGTTGTGTATGACAAGCCTATGCCACTGAGACTAAAGCCCCAACTGTACAGAACAGTGGTGCACCCTACAATGCTGTATAGTGCAGAAGCATGGGTGGCAAAAAAGACGGCAAGTTTGATGATTAGAGATATTTGAGACGAGATGTCTTTGCACCATAAGAGGAGTTTCACAAAGACATAATTCGAAATGCAAGTATTAGGATGGAAATCAAAGTTGTAATGTGGCTGACAAAATCCAAGAATTGCAACTCTATGGATTTGGACACATGCAGCGGATGAATGAAGAAGACCTGGTGAAAATATCATGGGAAGAGAGGGTGAAAGGAGAGACTCGCAGGAAAGCTGAGGAAGCAATGAATAGACTGTATCAAAGAAGATGGAAAGCAGGCAGTCCTTAGTGTGAGGGCCGGCTCCAGGGTTTTTGCCGCCCCAAGCAGCAAAAAACAAACAAACAAAAAAGCCGGATCGCGATCTGCGGCAGCTCTACTGCCGCCGCTTCAGTCTTCGGCGGCAATTCGGCAGCTGGTCCTTCGTTCCAAGAGGGAGTGAGGGACTTGCCGCCGAAGAGCCGGACGTGCCGCCACTCTCCGTTGGCCACCCCAAGCACCTGCTTGCTGGGCTGGTGCCTGGAGCCGGCCCTGCTTAGTGCTAACGATGACCTGACCCCAGCTGATGAGATAAGGGGAAGAAGATAATTATTATGCGTGCGCATATACATCATAGTTCAGGCAGATCAATTTGTCATCATTAAGAAAACACCCTGAACTGTCCTGGAGCATGTGAGTTTGTTGGGTTGATATGGCTCTCGAGAGCAGGCCATGCTACAGGATGGGATTCTCATGGCCTAGTCCTACAAGGTGCTGAGCATCCTAACTCACCATAACAAGGTAATCGGTTACCACACACTTTGGAATAAATGCAGTGTTTCAAACACCAGTGCGTGTGACGCAGGGTTTCAGAGGAATCTGCATAGGAAAGGAAGGAATTTGCAGCTCAGAGGGAGTTATGGAGGGAAGTTTGGGGCATTTTTCCTGAGGCAGGCAAAGACTCTGCATTTGGGAAGGTCTTCTGGGGAACTGTCCATTGGGTGAATGGAAATTCACAACTGGAAGAATCTGGGAAGGGAATTAAGGGCACTGGGATGGGAGGGAATCTGTGGTTGGGAACTGGGTGAGAGGACCCTGATGTACAAATGCAAACACTAAATGTTCTCATTTAATTTTCCATTTTGTTTTCCAGACATTTATAGTACTGAACAAAGGGAAGACAATCTTTCGATTTAGTGCCACTCCTGCCTTGTATATACTTAGTCCTTTCCATCCAGTCAGAAGAGCAGCAATTAAAATTTTGGTACATTCATATCCTTTCAGGTGGCTTCCCACCTTCTGATGTTATCTGATACAAGCGGATGTGGGTATAAGGAGATTTGGTTTTATCAAACTGTTTAAAAGCTGGATATTTAATTTCATTTACTACAGACGTAACTAGAAATGTGTTGGATTTTTTCTTTGGCTTTTATGGGAAAATGGCTTTTATGGGAAATACAGAGCTTGTCTTACTCACACAAACAGCCCCATTGACGTAGCTGAGACTGCTTGTGTGAATAAAGTTGAGCAAGGTTTGGCCCAGAGTTAGTAAGAGAGGGAGTCAGTGGAGGAAATTTGCTGAGATACATCAGGGGAAGCTAACCTGAATAAATTTCATCTGTCCCCTTCCCGAGTCCGAAGCAAAGTTCACACATCTGATAATCCTCTCCTGGGATGCATGCATACCTCCTTCAGCACTGATCCATCTTCATGGGCTGTCCTTGTGGCTGAGTGAATACAAAACTGTGTGGGGCTAACACTACTGCTGGCACTAGACGTCCCACAGTAGGTGAAGAGAAGGCAGGATCATTGTCTCCTCCCCAAATCTATATTGGCCAGCAAATCATGGAAAGAAAGGCACAATGCACTTTCGGAAGGAAAGGTGGGTGCTGTTGCTGGGGATGGTGTGATTGTATCCTTACATGTCCCAATGCAGAGTAATCCTTAAGAGGTACGAGCCTGCACTCAGTGATGAATAGTTCTTTAGGTCCTTCCCCATAACCTCCTAGTCATTTCACTGATGACAGGATACAGAATTTAGAACCTCACCCACACAGATATTCAGAATTCGTAGAATGTGAATTACAATACCGCTTAAATGAGGTGAGCTGCTGTAGCCCTGAGGGAGGAGACAAGCATACATCTGAATTCTTGCAAGTTAAATAATCTAAACAAAGAAAATTGCTCTGCAGTGTTAATGTTGAACAATTTACCAAGGATCAGGTGGAAAAGGTGGATGAGGTGGAAGACGTGGATGAGGCTTTTTTTAAGCAACTAACAAAATCATCCAAAGCCCAAGATTTGGTGGTGATGGGGGA